TATAGTTGTAAAATTCCATTATATCCCATTGCCAAAGAAACATTACAAACTTTGTATAGCTGTATAAAAAGCAACTAATTTTTTAAAAAATAAACATTTTTAAGTCAGCAAACATACTATGTTATTGCAAAAGTTGGTATGCTAAAGAACACTGAATTAGTTGTTTGTTTTTCTTAGCTTTTCAGTCTTTAAACTTGTTTGATTTTTATATCTGGATTATAATGAAGATTTGAAAATGTTCTTCCATTATACAAAACTGGATAAACTAGTCTCTCATACAAGAACTTCATTTTGTAATGTCTGGCGCATCACAGGATTTGACCAAATTAAGGAGATTCTTCAAATAAGGACTAAAATAAAATGTTTTGTCATGTGTCAGAACTTACAATTTTACTTTATGGTAAATATTAACTTTTTAAAAAATGACCCAGGCATATGAGTTAATATGCTTCTTCTAATATGCTTGGGTTGAAAATAAGCCTCCACGTGTCAATTCTTGAAATGTTAACTTTGTTGTAATACCAGTAGACATAATCAATTTAAAGAATTCTTAGTGTTTGAATTTGCATTTTGATAGGCTTTAGCTTGGAGACATTGCAAATTCTGGTTGTTAGACCAGTGAACCCACAAATGACTTGGTATGGATTTTTTGTCAATTCTAAATTACTCGTTACACCTTTGTGATATGGTTAAGTTATAATTGAAAAGGAAATCTGGTAATTTGTGTTTGTATATGTATATGAAGGCCACAGGAATAAAGGGATCCAAAGATTAAATTTTTTTATCTGATTTGATTTGTTAACTTTAGCCTCAAAAATGTTCAGTAGTGATAAAGATGTGGGAAACTGCACTGTTGGAAAATTGGAATATTTAAGTGGTTGATAGATATAAAATTAAGATAAGATTCTTTTTGTATAGCACTACAAGGAAGTATTTTGTAATTGGTTTCCTTATTAAGGTCCAGTATTGGCAGCCATAGGTGTTAGATAATATTGTTTAGTCATGTTTTTTGCATGTTAACAACAATGCCTTTTTGGAAACCACAAATCATGATCCTGAACAACTTTTGAGGTTTTTGAACATAGAGGCAGTGCTGTACTGTTGCAATAACCATGTATATTGTGTGAGGTGTCCCAGGCTTATTTAACAAGATCAGTTGTATATAATACCAATGATACATGCTGTGAAGGTCTGAGTTGATGCATATTTCCCCCAGTCATTTGGGTTACTAACTGGGGTGTTTTGTACCCCAGTAACTAGCAGCATGGCATACCTTCAGTGTACTTTGCTACATAAAACTAAGGTTTTTATTTTAAGACAGAATAAACAGTTCAATAAAATCAGTCTTCTGAAAATTCTTTCTAGTGCTAATAAAAATGGAATAGGAGGAATAGATTATTAATCTGTTTCCCAAGCAGATGTACCAGGAGAACTGCACTTCCCTCTGAATAATGGAAGCAAAGTAGTATCAGCTACCTCAGGCCCTCTGTTCTAATTCTGTCTTCTACTTCCTCCTTCAAGCAAGGGCAATACTAAGAAGAGGAAAAACAAAAGAGGAAAAAATCAGAAAAAGAACAAGTCTCTTCTTTTAAGCAAGCTACAGGAAGAATGTGTGAAAGAAGGAAAGCTTATCCTCCTGTGGCTGCTTCTACTTGGGGGCCCCAGCAGTCAGTGCCACTAGAAATGTAACAGCTTGTTAATTCACTCCCTGTTGAAGCTGTCCACATGGCTGCAGGACAGTCATTCTCTTCATCTTCATCAGTGGCTCCATTTTTTAAGATAAACCTTGCTGCTATGGGCCTTTCTCTCTCTTTCTCTCCCAAGTAAATTAGGTCCCCCTGGGCCTCTCAGGATGTCTGTATAAACCCATTAGCATAAAGTTAATTAAACTGAACACAGTGGTGTTTCACAGATGTTGTGGCAACTTTAAACTAGAATTTTTATTATGGGTGCTGTATTTCAGGCAGCCTGAATGTCAGCACTGTGCACACAGGAACAGTTTGCTAGGAGCACCACAGAGCTGTGTATTCTTGACTTTTCAGGGCAGAGTTGTATTTTCTACCATGTTACTCCTTATAAATGACACACTCAAATCAAATTTAAACCCCCCTAATTTAGGTCAGTTCACAACCCTCCTTAGACTCTTGCTTTGCTACAGACTACTGCCAGTTGATAATTAGACAGATGGTGATCACAACTGTCTGAAAATGTGCCTGTATTGTTGTACCCACACAATCTTTCTCTGACCTAGTGCATGTCTTCGTAAAACTAGATTGCTGTCGTGTTTCTATGGTGCCTTGCTTAATGGGGCTTCAAGATGTAACTACTGTAACTCTTCACTTTTTTCTGTACTGTATCTGGAATAAGGATAATTTGATGTTCACCTTGTTGTCATGAAAGCTATTTATTTGCCTTGTTGTGGAAGGATGAGTGTTTCCAGATATGTCAGAATCAAAGCTCTTCCCTTGCTTTTGATTTTCTCAGTGGGTGAGCGAGTTTGGTTTAATGCTTCTGTGCGCGGAGGTATATATTTTTAATATTGCTGGGTAGTTGTAATGACATTTAAAAAGCCTTAGATGTCCAGGCACATCCTGGACTTCCAGAACTTATCTAGATGACAGAATTCCTTGGAATTTGCTTCCTAGGAAGGGTTTGTATTAGTCATCTTTTCCTTCGCTCCAGGTGATCTTTTCTCATCCTGTGAAGTCTACTACTACCCATCCGAGTATTTCCATACTCTACAAAACAAAATGTAGTTGACAATTTCTCCTAGTAGGGATGCATAATCCCATTTAATTAATTAAAACATTTAACCATTTAATTATTGAAGGAGATGGGAAGTGGATCACTCCAGTCTGGATGGGCTGGAGCACCCTACCCACAATGTGCCCCTTGGGGGCTGGAATTGTGCCCTACCTGCACGGGAGCTGCTTCAACTTCCACTGGTTCATTGGAAAGTGAGGCTTACTGGTTCTCCTGACTCTTACCATTACTGATGCTCTGGAATTCAATTGTGGATGCTAGATGCCTTTTTGTATTTAACTCTATCATGTACTGTATGCTAACTTGAAGTACTACTTCTCTTCTCACTTTCAAACACCCCTTGTGTTCACCTGGCATGAATGTAGAAATATTCTAAAAGGGCACGAATGACATGTCACTATTTCATACTATTCTTGTGTATTAGAAAAATACATTTGTCTTTTTGAGAGTAATGTGAATTAACTGTTAACATGTCTAAACAGAAGTTTGTGTGTGTGTGTGTATATGTGTGTGTGTGTAGTGGACAGTAGAAAATTTGCTTTGTCATGGAAAAACTTGCCAGCTGCCTACACTGGCCACTTAGTCAGTGTTCTTGCACAAATTCAATCTAATGTAAGATTGTCAGTGTTCTTCCACAAATACAATGACTCTCCTGTTTGGGGAAAAAGCCCTCTTGCACAAAAAAGCCCAGATGGTGAAAATGGCGATGGGGGCCTTGCGGAAAACCACATCTAGATTGGCACGGGTGCTCTTGTGCAAATCTAGATGCTCTTTTCCACAAATGCTTTTAATGGAAAAACTTTTCTGTTAAAAGCATTTGTGAAAAATCATGCCAGTCTAGACATAGCTTATGGGATTCATTTCTGCAGAAGCAAATAGTTAAGAGTTCATTCCTTACCCTTATTGCAATACAGTTTTCTTATAGTGGAGGACCTGTCCAACTCTGAAACTAATGCATCTTACACTCATGCTGATAGCTTTAAGGGGTTGATAAAAGTAGTCATTTTCTACTTGAAAACTGCATAGGCATTGCTATGTGTTCTACTTATGCTTCTGTGGAATGACTATTGTAAACTAGTTTTAAATCTTAAAAGTAATGATGGAAAAAGGAAGTGGGATTAAATTCAAAAGGGTGAGTCAAAGGGCTAGGATTCATAAAGGAAAAGCCCTTTCATTTGCCTTTTAACTGATTAATTAGCTTCTGTTATTACTAATTTCAACTGCTATATTGTAATTTATCCCTTAACATAAAGTAAGTGATCATGAAGCAAACTAATTAGATAAAACAAGCCCAGTCTTATGGTTTGGCAGAGGGAAGCAGCTGAAAACTGAACAGGGAAGAACTTCCTTCAGCTAGAAAACTCTTTAGCAGAAACAGGAGTGAAGTGATACAGCTGAGGGCACCACTGTTGTGTTAAGTTTACCAAGCATCAAAGTAGAATGCTCTAGACACAAAATTGGTGTATGTAGCTGCAAAAATGACTACTTGCAGCCACAGCAAGGGAGAGGGATGGTGGGGGGGGGGGGGGGGGGGTAGCAGCTGTGGTCTGTGTCCACAGTATAGCTATAAAAGCTTGAGGTGTAGCTGAGTTACAAATTAAGTATTCAGGGGCTAGCGTGAGCTAAACTATCCCTGCTCACTCTTGCATATGCCGTCCTAGCTTTCTCTATGCATTTATGCAGTACTGCTGTGTGTAATAGTGACAGCAGCTAAGGGGTACATGAGCACAGGTATGTAGAGTAACTCCTAGCTAACCACTTCAAGTAGCTTCGTCTAACCAAGTGGATTTAACCCTCTGCTGTTTGTGCTGGCTGTAACTAGTCACCACCCCTGCTGCCTAAGCTCTGGCTGGACTTACTAGCCCAGGCAGTGCTTTGCCTACACATCGCTCCTGCTCTGGTACTGCCTGGGCCTCTCGCACGAAAGCTGCTCCGGAAAGAGGAGGAGGGCTGGATGCAGGATCCCACTCTCCAAGGCTTGGCCTCCTGGTCTACTCCAGGGTCCTGCGGGGGGGTAGAGAGAAGCCCAGATCCCTGCCCGAGATTCGTTCCCGGACTCTCACGCAGGCCCTGGGGCCGGAGCTGAAGCGTCTGCCGGGGCGGTTCCGGAAGCAGCCTCACGCCGGAGCGGAGAGGGATGCTCTGGAGAGCCCGGGCGGGGAGAAAGTGCGTCTCCCCCCAGCTGCAGGCAGTGGTAGCGACCTGGGCGGAGCCAATCGGAGCTTGGCGCGGGAAGGGCTGGACGGCTGGGATTCCCAGATGCCCTGGCGCGGGGACCGGGGTAATTTCTGACCGCACAGGAAGCGGAAATGACGCAGAAGACACGGCAGTCGGTGAGCCGGCTTATACCATCCCTTGCTGCCTGGCCTGTACGGTGAGCGGGCCTGAGGGCCCCACCTTCGCTCCCCTGGGTGTAGAGGGGCCTTCCTCGGAGGCCCCGCTGAGGAGTCGGGCGCGCTGCTGTGCCCAGGGCAGGGCGGGCGGAGGCCGCGCTTAGGGACGCAGAGGGGTGAATGGGCGGAGCTCGTTGCGCGGGGAGGCGGTTTGCTGACGACAGTTGGTTTTCTCGTCCCCCCCCACC